TCTAATTGGGTAATTACCTGTTTTAGAAATATTTTTACTGTTTTTGTGTAACCTAGAAATGTAAGAAATCTCCAGAAACTTTATGACATATATATGTTCATTTTTTAAAAATAATATAGCCTCTGAAAGTTTTACTACTATAAATAGAAAGTTTAAACTGTAAATTACCAAATTTTAGTAAAATTTAATCATGACTTTGAGAATTTTTACTAGTGACGTATTTTACTTTATATATAAAATCCTATTGTATTACAGAGATTATACGATAAATAATTGACCTATACTCTACCCTTAAATAAAAGTTGTAGAGCTCATCTAACGATGGTTAGATGCATTTTGACGAGCTCTACAACTTTTATTTAATAGGTATATATCATTAACTTAGTTAGAAAAAAAAGTTTTAGATAGAAGCATGCCACATTTCATCAATAGTGATTTTCATATGTAATTTCCATTATGAATTTTTATATAGTTAGCTAATCGTATTTTAACAATATCTCATCATTCACTAGGCTGATTTGGATGATCTAACCACCATTAGATGCATCTCGATGAGCTCTACAACTTTTAATTAGTAAGTATATATCGTTAACTTAGTAAGAAAAAAGTTCTATATGGCAGAGTCTCATTTCACCTATTCTTCAGTTAATAGGCAGATTATTAATTAAATTTATATCAAATCTTGATTAGCATTAGTGATAAATTTTCAAATTAGATCTTTGAATAAAGATTAACTTACTAGCCTTATAATATGTTAAAATTATAATTCAATGCAAGATTAAAGCTTTGAGAACTCAAATTTGGAAACGTGCTACTACTATTATTTTATAATTAAGAGGGTCTGTAAGTATATTGTATGTTAAATAAAACTTGAGTTCACCTTGATAAAAATCTAAGCAAGCTTTTGAGTATATATATAAATTGGTCTCATCTATATGCTAGTTCATTAGGTGTTTTAAAAAAATATATATATAATTAAATCTAAATCCAACTATATACTAAATATCAATATAATGATAAAAAATTATGCTTGTTTGAAATCTAAGACAGATATAAAGTTCTGAGTATATGAAGCAAATAAGAAATAATCAATGCTTATTAATAAATATAATCTAAAAACTATTTAATTGTTGCTTTATTGTTGTAGTGTGATAAAAATTGGTAGAGTAATTTTTAACTTATCAAATTTTAGATATGCAAAACTACGTAGTACATCTAGTAGTCTAAGCCATCCTATATAAGCACGTGAGTAATACAAACCTTAGAAAAGAAATGGCTAATCAAAGTGCACAAAATTTAACTGTTCTGAATTAGAACGACATGAATTCCAAATATATACAAAGAAGAAAAAAGCGAAAATACTCAAAAAATAAACTGCTCTACTCTATATATAATATATATATACTGTTACAAAGTAGATTTTTAGTATAGATTTTCTTAAACATTATTTAGTTATTTTTAGTTATTATTATTCAAAATATTTGTATTTTTATATAATTAAAATATTAGATATATTTATTATATTATTATATATTAGTTTTATATATATTTAGATAGAATATTATATAGTATTAATATAAAAACATTTTGATTGGCTATTGGAAGTGTGGCACAGTCACATGACTTCATATGACCTCAGGTGATACAAAATTACACAAAAGGATACTCTGGGTTATACAAAGAAGTAATACAAGAAAGTAATACAAGTTCTCCCAAGTTTCTCTATATAAAGTCACCCAAGTTCCTTCTATACAAATACAAGTGTTTTAGATACAAAATCCTCCAAGTTCCCCTTCACTAAGTTCCACCTCACAAACAATAAATAAAATATAAACAAATTGAGTAATGTTTATATTCACCCAACTTCCTCCAGTACAATCACCCAACTTCTTCCAACACAATTCTCCAACTTCCCCTACTAATGTTACTTATCCCCCAATATCCCCTTACACACTGTATACCTTTTTTTTAGACAAAAAAGATATATAAAGGGTGCTTTTTCCTCTTTCTGCCAATTCTATAAGTTTCTATACTTCACTTAGACTCTGTTTTCGTTATACCCTTTTTGTAAATATGATATTTCCTCTCTAAGGTAATTTCTATAGGCAAGGTTTATTCTGTGTTCTTGTATAAAATAAAGTTATTCTATATACTGTTACTATCTCAAACTGGTTGCCTTCTGCTATGTAGTTAAGTGAACAACTACATCCACCTCATGTATATTTGCAAAAGTCAATCACTGCATTAGGTGCCTTGTTACTTGGTTGTATTTTACTAAGAAGGCTACAACTCTGTAACAATATATATAAATATTGTATTTTTATTAGTCAGTTAGCTATATTGTGTAATGTAATCGCAAACCTACCCCATGTATCTATAGTAAAAATTATATAATAAATAGCATGCCCCTTACCTCAATACCAAAAATATATATATATAAATTTTGTGACAAATTAGATAAGTAGTATAATAATTAATAGTAAATAATATTTTTACACTCCTTTTTTGATATTTTTACACCTATGCAGATCACTTTTTTAAAAAATTTTATTGAAGTATCTCAATGACTACCTGCTAAATTTTAATAAATTTTTTTTATTAGAATTTTACAAGTTTTTAGAATTCAAATAAAATAAATTCATCAAAATTGGTCAAGTAGTTATCAAGATATCTTTAATCAAAGTTAGAGAAAATTTTGCTACAACTATTATTTTGATAGATGTTTAGATTTTTTTAAGCCTTTAATTAAAAATATCTTGATGACCACCTAACCAAATTTCATAATTTTTTTATTTAAATTTTATAGACTTGTAGAATTCTAATAAAAAAAGTTTATTAAATTTTGTCAGGTGATTGTCAAGTTACATTTGATCAAAGTTTTTAAAAAAAAATCTAAACATCTATAAAAATAAGAGCTGTAATAAATTTTTTTCTAACTTTAATTGAAGGTATCTTGGTAACCACTTTACCAATTTCGATGAATTTTTTTATTAGAATTCTACAGACTCAAAGAATTCTAATAAAAAAATTTTTATTGAATTTGATTAGATGGTTGTCGAGATACCTTTGATTAAAGTTTAAAAAAATCTAAACATCTATCAAAATAATAATAATAGCAAAAATTTTCTAACTTTGATTGAAGCTATCTTGATAACCATCTAACCAATTTCAATGATTTTTTTATTTAAATTCTACAAACTCATAAAATTCTAATAAAAAAAAATTAATCGAATTTGGTTAGATAGTCATTAAAATATCTTTGATTAAAGTTTTAAGAAAATTGACTTATATAGGGGGTATGAAAATATCAAAAAAGAGGTGTGGAAATATCAGTCACCTAATTAATTAATCAAAAATTGTTATATTAATATATGATCAAAACAAATAGATAATTCTTGAACTAAGAAAGCCAATTAATAGGCATTACTTATATATTATGATTTTGTTTATAGTTTAATTTGAATATAAAATAACTTGTATTGTAAAAAAATCAAACTATTTTTTTTAAACTTAGCTAGAAAATACAGGTCAAATATATAAATAATGGTTAAATAACGGGATATACCTTTATTGACCCATTATTTATCCAATATGCATTTTGAAAAAAGAATAATAGTAAACTAACAGATATCAGCATTATAGTAAATTAAAAGATAGATATTGGATACAAAATAGTATACTTTTTGTTTCCTAATACTATTCCAATATTCAACCTACATGCTAATAGCATTCTAGATGAATAAAGGTATACAAAAAGTAAAATAATTCTATATATTTTTTCTTTTATTATTATCCTGATATTCAACCTACATGCTAATAGCATTCTAGATGAATAAAGGTATACAAAAAGTAAATAATTATATACATTTTTTCTCTTCTTTTACTATCCTGATATTCAACTTATATATTAATAGCACTCTAGATGAATAAAGGTATATTAAAGGTATAATAATTATATATATTTATTTACTTTTTTACTATTCTAATATTCAACTTACATGCTAATAGCATTCTAGATAAATAAAGATATACTAAAGATAAAATAATTATATATGTTTATTCATTTCTTTTACTATCTCAATATTCAATTTACATGCTAATAGCATTCTAGATGAATAAAGGTATACTAAAGGTAAAATAATTATATATATATTTTTTTTTTACTATCCTGATATTCAACTTACATGCTAATAGCACTCTAGATGAATAAAGGTATACTAAAGGTAAAATAATTATATATGTTTATTCGCTTTTTTTACTATTCTGATATTCAACTTCATATAAATTGTATATAGGTATACAAAAGTATAAAGATTATATTCACTTTTAACTTCTGATATATATTAGTATTATGACAATATACAGTATATATAGCTTTCATTAAACAACAATTAATTTATTAAATTTTATATGCATATATACAGGTCGAATATATGAATAATGAAATATAGCTATATAGCTCCATTATTTTGCCAATATATATAAGAAAACAATATAGAAAGTAAACTAACAAATAACAATATTATAGTAAAATAAAATATAAATATCAGTTATATAATAATATACCTTTGCTTTCATATTATTATCCTGATATTCAACTTACAAGTTCATTATAGCAAGATATAGATATATAAAAATATATATAAAAATATATATTTTTACTCTTTTATATCCTAATATTCTTCATAGCATTATAGCACATAGTATATATAATGATATTCTTTTTTTACTCTTTTATTATCCTGATATTTATTTTGGTATAGTATATATAGTTTCCATTTGCAAATACTTATTTCATTTTATATAAAACATATTTATATGCATACATATCAGTATACAGGATACTTATCTACATATATTATTTGCACTTTAATAATATATTAAAAAATATTTCAATAATCCGATAACAAAAAAAGAAAAGAAAAAAGTTTTTCTTTCTTTCTTTTTTGTTTTTTTTTTTTTGTTTTTTTTTCTTTTACTTTTAGTTGTATTCACTTTCTTCACTTTCCTCCTTCTGAACTTCTAGTTTTTCTGATTCTAATAAATGTTGTAGAAAGATTTTCAGTGTTTGTAAGAGTCTTTATAATTTTAATATCATCAGTATTAGGATCTTGATTATTAACATCAGATGCACTGATATTGGACTTTTGACAACTAGAAACTCTAGAAGTTTCTCTTTCTGATATTAAAAAAGGATTCCTATAGAGTTCTAAATCAGAAAAAGTATACAAATACTAAATAAAATTACTTTATATAACTGGTATCTAGTACTATTTTATAATAGATACCAGTAAATATGATTTTTCTTAAAATTAATTGATAAATACTAACAATTTCCTTCTGCTTTCCTTTATCAACTTCTTTTTGTATTTTTTTATTAATTTCTGCTTCTTCTTCATCAACTTCCTTTTGCTTTTCTTTATCACTTTCTGCTTTTTCTTTATCAACTTTCTTTTCTGCTTTTTCTTCACTAACTTCTTTTTGCTTTTCTTTATTACTTTCTGCTCGTTCTTTACCAATTTCCTTTTTTGCTCCTTCTTTGCCAACTTTCTTTTGCTTTCTTTTATCACTTTCTGCTCCTTCTTCATCAACTTCCTTTTGCTTTTCTTTATTAGTTTTTTTATTAATTTTATTAAATATTGCAAAGATTGTTGGTTGGACAAATGCTTTTTGTCAAATTTAAATTTAATATTTTAATATGATCTTTAGCTAGATTACATCTAAGGATAATAACAGCAGGCTATTTTCAGCTTAGCCAGTCAGCTAAGCTGAAAATAGCCAGCTGTTGTCATCTCTAATTACATCTAATTTCTTGATAGTCATTGCATTGACAAGCCATTTATCTAACATTATACAAGGTGATAATTTACTAATAATATATATACTCATGACTAACAAAAATGCTAATCCTAACTACTATGTAATGTTAAATAAATGGCTTGTTAGTGAAATAACTATCAAGAAGATGAGAAACAATGCTATACTTGTAGAAAAAGTAGTTCTAATTGAAACTCTTTTTGTTTAAGATTGCATATAATAATATGCCTTGTTCAGGAAGTTACTGGGCCTAGCAATAGGCTCGTATTCTTCATCTAGCTCATCAGAATTTTCTTTATTGGGGTCATC